ACAGACAGCTGACGCAGTAGGTATAATTGACAGTATTGTGTGTGTATGCATGTAGCAGAAATATGTGAATAATGGTGATGCATTCATTATTTAATCTATTACAATTTATGCATAATATAGCATTTCAAAACAGTCCTTATTATAAAAATACGAGTACTGTATTTGCCTTGAAATAGTGCATGTTCTTATTATTACCTAAATTACAGAGATGTTTCTATGGTAATAGTAATATTTTAATGATTCTGTGTATAACAAATGTATTTTGGGGTTTATATGCACTACTTTTGGTGACACGCTTCTAATATCGAGAGCAATTATGGTATTGAATAACAATATAAATAAAAATATTTAAAAATTTGGAAAAGCTAAATATTAGCTATATATATTATCAAAACAGATTCTGAAAAATTCATGATTATTTTATGGTGACATTGCTGATTTCATTCTACTTCTATTGATCTGTGGTAGATTAATATGAACATTTTTAGAGATACTAGGATTGATATCAGTAAATTTGTTCATTTTTCGTTGTACATAACCATACATATTGGTATATACTGGTACCCCAGTGTGATCAGAAATATTCTATCAGGAATTAATGCAGAAACATGAGTAATAAGACTGTTTTGGAAAAATCATTTTTTTTAAACTATTGCTTGGTGACTTCACAATTCTTTTTCAATTTTTTGGACCATAGTAGTGTGGATGGCTGATCCATATTTTTGTATGTATTGAATATATTTAGTATATTTAATTTTCAATTTAATCCAAACCTACTTAATACAACATATAAAGTAATGGTATAGGTTAAAGATACACACTCACAACATTTATTTTTGTACCGCTTAAAATGTAAAGAGAGTGTACACATTCATTTCTCATCAATAAGAAAAACAATTATTCTTTAAGATAAGTTATAAATGACGAGCTTTCATATATCAATTTGCAAATATTTCTACTATGATGCTGCTAACCAGTAAATGGCATGTTTACATGTACAAGTAACCCTTTACTGTTCAAGGTTAGGCAGAGGTATTTAAACAGCTCTCAGAGTTGGTAAAAGGAATGAAAACTTTTATTTGGCCCACTTTTAAAAAATACAAAATATCAAAATCATCAGTATGCATCATCAATCAGTAATTACACACTCACAGTTAAATGCATTAAATCTAAAAAAAAAAAATTTTTAGTCATTAATCAAACAAAATTTTTGGAATTGAATACTGTAAAATGACTAATTTTCACTGGGTTTAAATTTCACTGATTTACCATTTCAGGCATATTCAGTGGGTTTTAAATTCATGGTTTCGTCATTTAGATAATGTGTTCTATGTTAAATTTTACATATTCACTGTGTTTTAATTTAGCGCATTTTTCCAGTCAGCGAAATAAGCTAAATTAAAACCCAGTGAATAATTACCCCCTTTACAGTATTTAGGTTGTGGCAAAATAGATGCTATCTACATTATCAGTGCATGTGCTCACTACTAAGTATATTTATTCTCTGTTAGCTGAAATCCCCTGAGGTTAAATTCATTTTTCCCCAGGAGTAATTCAAGATAACTCTCATCATGTGAAGCTGCACAGCTATATGCAGTTACATGTAAATAATCTTTAAACCATATGAGCAGCTGCTTTTCTGAAAATGCTGATATTTAAGATTGAAGCACCATCATTTTTTAAACAGTTAGCTTTAAAAATGTCAATATGTAAACCAACTCAAGGTTCATGATCAAAACTTACCATATCAATGTACTTTAGCAGACATAGAAGATGAAATGCATCTCCTCATCAAATGCCCAAAATATCACACACTGCGAATGGATATATTCTCAAATATACAGTTTCCTGATGAAACAAAAACTGACCAACAGAAATTTACATACTTAATGAAAAATTCTAACACAAATGTAATCAAACTTGTTGGAGAATTTATACACAGCTCGTTCTTAATGAGAAACAAAAACACTAAAATCTATCATTTATTATTTGCTATAGTTATTTTGTTATTTTGTTTTTTAATATCTTACTTTTGTTGCTATAAACTGTTGCTATAAACTGATGGAAACACTGTATTTCTAAGGATGCAATAAATTATCTTTATTATTATCATTAAATGCAAACACATCACTCAAAAAATAAATTTATATTCTATCCTACAAGCTTAGGTTTTTTAAACTAGTGACTATAGACACTTCAAGATAGCTTCATATAATTGTATAGTGAGTTTTGCCATTACAGTTTTATAAAGTTTGGTTTGACACACTGCATCTAAAATTAATTGTGCTACTTTGTAATTCATTTTAAGAATTGTCTTTTTCCTGAATTAACCAGCATTGTAATATAGTACCTCTGGAGAATGTAGGTCATCTCACTCAAAGTGTTCTATCAACAAGAATTAGTGTGTATTTTGGGGGCAAAATCAAACACTTTTGCTATTGCTTGTACAGTTACTGAGGTCTATTGAGCATGCAAAAATACAGTTAAGGCAGAATACTTTATTCAGCTAAGAAGTAAACGTATATTCTGTAGAAGCACATCTACGTGTATGATATATTGTACACTGGATCATTCTCATTATGTATTGTTTATTTACAATACAGAACCCTCATATAGTACTTGTTGAGTAATAAAGTTATAATTTAAAACATGTCTTCTTTTCACCATAGGCTCTTTCACAATTGTGACCAAAGCGCATGTGCTACTAATAAAGTAAATACAATACTCACTGATAATGTATGAATTTATTTATTTTCTAAAAAACTTAAATATTTGAAATATTTTTATCTTTGTTGGTTACCACAGTGACAGTATTTCACCATATCTAGAAACTGACTTAGGCAAGGATTTTTTATCAATAAATATCACTTGAAATAATTTGCTATTCTACTTTTGTGAGATATCCTCAGTATGACCGTCATTGTATTTTATTTTTGCAAATGTATGTGAGTTTCTGATGATCATATAAATTAATGAATGATCTTATAGTATGAATTAATTAAACTAAACATTATCATCAATATTGACAATAAAACTATTCTGACTAGCGATATTTTACTTGTTTAAGGTAGAGTCTGAAAAATGACATCTTGTTTGCTTCCATGGCAACAGTCTTGGGTGATTCCATTCTCAATTGTGGATATTCTAGTTATGTGCTCTAAATATAAAAATATAAACACTGCTTCTCGCAATACCACACTTTATCTGTGATATTAGATGTGAATAACCAATTATGTATATAAGTTACTTTTTGGAATTTAGAATATATAAAAAGATATTGAAAAAATATATATTTAGCTTTTACTAAGATTTATGCAGGTATATTAGGTACAATGTATCCATCCAAGAAAAATACATTTGACCTTGTCAAACCTTGTACAAACATACAAAAATAAAAGCCATTATTTATATGTCTAGCACCTAACAATTAGCCATACCAGCATTTGTGGCAAAATCTATCTGTACTCGTTCCAACATTAAAATTTTTCTTTATATGAGGTAAACTACATCACCAAAATTGACCACTTCTGGCATTGAAACACTATCCTTGGGGGGATGGACCTACGTCACAGAATGTTCTTTGTTGCTAAGACGCACACCACTCTACCATGTATTTCTATGGGCTCTGCGTGAGCTGCTGTGGAACGCCGGTCGAAGAGCCAGTGAAAACAGCAAAAGTCAATGAAATAGTACAAACGCAACTTTGAATTAATCCTAAGCAACAAAATTTATATATGTTGTACATGTAGGGGAAATTGTGTTACACTTTTCAGGAGAGTCTCAACAACTATTCCAAAGTACATTTTTTTGAGAGTTATTTGCCTTTGTTTTCACCGTGATGGTTGGCAGTGAAAATACCTGGATGTCTGCCCCAAGGATATCATGAAGTAAAAATAGAGTCCTGTTACTAAACACAAATGTTTGTTTATAGCAGATTTTTAGCTGTTATCTCCAAATTCTAAATAAGTTGAATGTAAAATATAGAAAAAAAGAATATTCCCTGGTTTTTTATTTTCACTGAATCATTCCTTCAGCGAAAATTAATTACAGTATGCTTATTTAGTCTTATAAAGTGGCATTTATAATACATGCTGCCCAATTCCATTTTATAATTTAATAGAAATGCTAACCTAACTGTATGCACCTGGAGAAGAATTCATGTACTGATTGCTATGCTTGGTTCATCATGGTTTTATTCCATCCTACAGCTGTTAAATTTGTAAAAAAGTCTATTAGTATTTTGTAAGGCTAAGTTGACCCAAATTAGATGCAAAATTGAGCATTACACTGACATTAGCCTGCTTTGCCATTAGCTCTGGTTCACCGTCATGCATTAAACAAGTCTGATATAAAGATTATCCTTTCTGTTGGCTGCATTATTTTCATCATCTCTACTGGAGGGTTGAATAAATCACACACAGCTGAGCATTAAAAAAAAAAATTTCAGCTGTTAGTTCGACTCTTATAATAAAGTTAATTCGACTGTATTTGGTCCAACAAATTGGCTAAATTGTGTTATACTGGTAAATATGACATAAAATTCTGCCTGGAAATTCATTCGCATAGAGTGTCTATAGGATATGCAGATTATGACATCCACCTGGTATTTTTTATAGATTTTATTTTTCATTCTGTTCGTCTGTTTTTCCAGTTTAAAAAATGAGAGCTGGCTGGAGCCTTCATCCCTTGTCTATTTCTTACACTAGATACCAGCCCCATTAAATATTATGTATTTATTTATTTATTTTAGACAAAAAATGTGTGTTTATCTTGATAATAGACATATGCCTTTAAAGTTTCTTACAATTAATATTGATAACAACAATTCACAATTTTGATGATTTTTTTCGTGACACAAAATAATATTACTGCAATTTTAAGTTTAGTTTGTAAAAATAATTTTGTAAGCATACATTGTACTATTTTAAACCATGTTTATTAGTTCGATATAAATGTGTGACATTTAAAGTGTCTTGTTACTACAATTAATATTTCTAATATAAATTCACAATTTTGATGATTAATTTGTGCAACACAAATTTATATACCTTATGTCAATTTTAAGTTTAATTTTCAGTGTATTTTTTTTTTTAATTTTCAGATGCTAGCTGTACTTATCAAAATGGTTTACCAGTTTTATTTGTACCATTACCATCCAGGCAAGAACTATGCCAATTCACATTGAAACCATTCTCCCAGTCAGTGGGTGATTTATTACACCAGTTAACGCAAGAAGATGGTGGAATTGAAAGAGCTGTCATTTATAACAAAGGTAATTATTATATTAAGTTGAGTTCATTGATTATTCAATTTATCAGTGCTTGTCTTATACTGCATTTGCTACATCAATAATTCATTGCAGATGATGGTAAAAACCATGCATATGCATAAATCATTATAAATTATTACCACTGTACAGTGTTTAAGAGAATATGCTGTATTTATCCAAATGGCACTCACTCATTGGCTAACAGAACATCACGTGATGGTGGGAGCTGCCATGTTGCGTAATCATGGACAGTAGACCCCAGAACAAGCATACATTCAACAAGCCTTGTCATGATACGATTGTCTTTTCCTTTCATTCAATCAAATATCAACGAATATAAAAAGCTAAGCTAAAAAAATTCACAATTCAAAAAAATGCACAATTATATTCTGTTCAAATGTACTTTTTATCACACAGTGCTCAAATTGTATGTATAATGTATTTTACATTTAAATGTGCTTACTTGCATATTTAATTTTTTTTCAGATGATGTTAAAGTTGCCAAAGCAACTGGTATTGATATATTGATGAAAGACAGTTTTAAATTAGTCCTAAATGATACCAGTTATGATGTAACACCTCCTACGCAAGGTTTGTAGTAGTTTTACCATCAACAAATGTTTGTACAGTCAAACCTGTGGATAGCGATCAACCAAGGGACTTCCAGAAGCAGTCTTTATATGGAAATTTGATTATTTTTTATGGATTGCCAACTCGTATATTTGACATTTGTTCAGAGAATAATGAGATGATACTGTTGCAATAAAAATACATTTATTTGAGTTGATCAAAATTAAATCAATTTGATGCGGGAAACTAAAAATTTTATAAACAGAATGCAAATTAGTATTTTTGTCTCTAAACAAAAATAAACCTGCAAAAATATTGATGGAAGGATGGTTACTTAATAACAGGTGGTCTTTATACACAGGTTGCTCATACATTATGCCTCAGGACTGCCTAAAAATGCTACATGTTGGCAGGTGGTCTTTATACACAGGTTGCTCATACATTATGCCTCAGGACTGCCTAAAAATGCTACATGTTGGCAGGTGGTCTTTATACACAGGTTGCTCATACATTATGCCTCAGGACTGCCTAAAAATGCTACATGTTGGCAGGTGGTCTTTATACACAGGTTGCTCATACATTATGCCTCAGGACTGCCTAAAAATGCTACATGTAGGCAGGTGGTCTTTATACACAGGTTGCTCATACATTATGCCTCAGGACTGCCTAAAAATGCTACATGTTGGCAGGTGGTCTTTATACACAGGTTGCTCATACATTATGCCTCAGGACTGCCTAAAAATGCTACATGTTGGCAGGTGGTCTTTATACACAGGTTGCTCATACATTATGCCTCAGACTGCCTAAAAATGCTACATGTTGGCAGGTGGTCTTTATACACAGGTTGCTCATACATTATGCCTCAGGACTGCCTAAAAATGCTACATGTAGGCAGGTGGTCTTTATATTGTAATTGAGTTTTTTACTAACACAGGTTTGACTGAATATACAATCTATCTACTGCCTCAGAGATCACATTAACATACAAATATGCAACAATGTGACTATTACAAAACATTTGTAATTGTATGTTAACGCACTGAAATGTGCACTCTTTGTTTCCCACTCCATTGATAGTCAGCTAGCTCACTTCCACCCTTGATTATGTAACTCGTATTTACTTTATAGATCATTCCCTAGTTTGTGCTATTTTAGTTAGTATCCCATGAACCATCATGTGTTTACATTTTGCCATCTTAGCCAATCACGTTAGTGCATCCACGGCGTCCCTTAGTCTTGGCTACTCTCATCGCATCATTCAGACGTACTAATAAGACAAGTTGGTGAATACTTATACAAAATATTTGAAATCAGAAATATCAATAACTGACATTTTACTTTTACTTTAATTTTATATGTATTGTACTTTATTACTAACATTTTATTGCTGTTCAACCAATGGAAATTATTTCTAAGGATGCAATAAATTCATTATTATTATTATTCAGTTCCTGCTTTCATACAGTGAGCATCGTTCAAGTTACCTCCCACCCTCCCATCATTACAGTCTGCTTCATCATTTTGTATTTTTTTTTTCCTCTGTGCTTATTTCATGTTTTGGTTATTTATTAATAAATACAGCTAGGGGGGGGGGGGGGATTGTCACACAGGGAATCCATACTCTGTTTGGGCAACACGTCGCACTTGCCCCGAGATGAGTTGAAAGTTACAACTCGCCGCGGGACATAGGCCTCAATGACGCCTACACACAGCGTACCCTTAGGTGGCGCCCTCACTCAAGTATCACGTCGTCCTTGCCATGATGTTGGTCAAAGGCGACCAATATCATGGAATAGACGGCTAAGACGCTTGTACGCTGAGGCTCTTGATCCCCCTACTTTTTCTCGCATATCAGTCTCTTGTGTCATTTCTAGTGTGTTAATTGGTGTTGTAACATGGCTGGGCCATTCGATATATTATATAAACAATTAGAATTTCATCTATGTGATACATGTAGGTCATCATGGCTGACAAGGGAACCCCAGAAAAACGCTTCAGATTGGATCAAATTGCAACTTGTAAGATTAATTTGCACAATCTCTGGTTTTCACACAAATTTACTACAACTTTGCCACAGAACCAGAGATTTTGCAAATTTATTCTTGAAAGGAATTTTATTTTTCAAAACATTTATTTAATTCTTTTATTTTGTGTCAAGGTGATAATCATATGGTAACAAAATAAATGCATCGATTGTTCATGTTTATATTCCAACGACATGGATCAACCCGAGAATGCATTTGTTTGGATTCTAGCATGACCTTTGCTGTTTGTCGTTAATGTGCTCTTATCTAAATAAGATTGTTTTTTTTTTTAAATAACAGAAGTTGTTGACAGTGAAGATGCTGAAAAGCTATCTGATGTCAAAGTACTTATACAAAAGCTTTACACCACACTGAATGTGGAGCAACATCAGTTAATGCATGAAAAAGACTTGTTAAAAAAATTAGAACGTCTGAAAGCAGAACTTCAACCCTTAGAGCAGGTAAGGGAAGATAATAGACTATTTTCTGTTCACTAAGAGATCCCATGTTATGCATGCAATCAAATGTAAAAAAAAAGAAAAGGTCATGGCATTGTAGTGGCATCAAAACATTGAGTGGGATTCGACAAGTGTTTTTTTGGGTATTTCCACACTCAATAATGTGCTTATACACATATGATTGACATTTTGACCAAGTGAGTCTATTCCAATGCCATATATCTCTCTGAAAGATCAACATTTCAAAATTGAACTGTAAAAAAAAATAAAATTCATGTTTAAGATCAAATCATTTGACAGACTATTGATCTGTGCCTTTCATGCATTAAGCTAAAGCAAGAATTCTCAGTAAAGAGAAAATCACCTAATTTTAACAAATAATTATTATAATTTAAAATTGGGATCTGATCAATTTCTTCTCCACTGTTAGCAGTGTGGTAGCTTTACTACAATTATCAGGAGTTCTATACTATGTTTATGTAATTGTGATGATACTGCTATATAAGGGAATGCATGACATGTATACAAATATGAAAAAGCCTACTAACTCGCCTGGACGTCATTTGGTGTGTAACACTGATTGAGCCTTGGAATCCCCTTCCCATTTTGACACCTGAGCAATTTGGATGGTTTACAAATAATGCACATCTGTTGCAGTATTTTTTGCAATTTTATTCAGAAATTCAGATACATGTATGGGAGAAAAATAAAGAGTCTACGAAAATATGAATAATTTATGAAGATAACACTAGGGTGAAACTAAGCTGTAACATGACAAGGGTCTGCTTTCCTTTTTTCAAAGTGTTCGACTCCTGGATTCCATAATTAAGTCACTGCATATTATGAATAATTGATAGCAATAAATACCCCTCAGAGCAGACCAGGCATAGTAATTTTGCATTAGATCAAGTTTTAAAAGAAAAAAAAAAATGATCATAAAATTACCATGGCTGGGCCAGACTTCTCTTCAGTGTTGTACATGTACCAAATAATTTTATTCGTCTTTATTTTTTATTCAGATAAAACAAGATATTGACTCAAAAGCTGTGAAGCGTACAAACATATTGATGTGGGGAGGTCTTGGTTATATGGCATTACAATTTGGTTTCCTAGCACGTTTAACCTGGTGGGAATATTCTTGGGATATCATGGAACCTGTGACTTATTTTGTAAGCTATGGTACAGCTATTGCAATGTATGCATATTATGTACTAACAAAAGAGGTATGTCAACAAATAAAATTGAAAGATATTTGTATGTTGTTCCCCAGAAATACTATACAAAATCACTAATTTTATGAAAAGTTTGTTATCTACAATACATAACTTAAACTGTTATTATAATAAAAATTAACTGCCTGAAATGACAATTCTACTGGCCGAAAGTGAATCAACTTCAATTCGACCCCCCCCCACTTCGCACACATGGCAGTTTTGCTACCAAGGTACTTCAAGAACCTCAGATAGGTCTATTGAGTATAAAGCTGTTGATACATTTTTTGTGATGTGATATGTTTATGAAATCTAATGTATTCATGGGCAAGTTACTGTAAAATATTTTATTTTAGTTGGATTTAATTTTCACTGTATCAACTTTTTTAGTGCAAAATATAGGAAAAAAGTTATATTCGCTGGATTTTATTTTCACTGAATTATTCATTCGGCGAAAATAACGAAAATTAATTAAAAGTATTCCACAGTACTTGTTTCTCTACTCATGAGACTTCTTTCTTGTAACATTGTCATATTTTGGTGCCTGCTGCAAAGCTCACTCACCAGATATGTTAGAAATATGAGAATTATGGTTTTACACTCAAGAGATAAAATAATCAGATCATCATGTTTGTTATAGGAATACATTTACCCCATTATGAGAGATAGACAGTACCTGTTCACTTTCCATAAATTTGCACAGAAAAGGCAATTAGATGTTGGCAAATACAACGTCTTGAAAGATGAAATAGCCAAGGTAAGTGTACATTGATAGTATACAGGTTATAAAAAAGTTATAACAACCGGAAATGCCATCAAAAAATATTTGTGCGAGTGTGATTATTTGCATTTAGTGACATGATTCTATTTTAGTCAATGTAAACTGTTCGAATGTCACATAAATCTGACATACATTTTCCAATTAAGAAAGACGTTTGAAAACATCCATACAATGTTTTACAAATAGACGATTTCTATTGTTTTAGCTGCAAGATGTATGTTAAAGTTTAATTTCCCTATCACACAGGTGGAATATGACATCGAAAGACTCCAGGATCCACTCCAGTTGAACCTTCCTCTCCAGCAAAAGCAGTCAAAAAAGATTTTTCTTCCTGAACTTCCAGATAATGAGAAATCATCATAAAGTTTCTTTAGAACTATTATTATTATTATTACAAATTCCAAATAAATTGTACATTGCTTGTCTTAGTAAAACATTATTCTTCTGGAATATAGTTTTGAAGGGGGTTATGTTCTTTAATTACCACTTTTTGCGAAATGTGCAAACCTTGATTTTTAATAGCATTGTGCTAAAACTAGATTTCTTTATTATGGCCCTGTTAAAAAACTAAAGAAAAAATAAGACATAAATTGGGACTAATAAACATGGCAAGTGGTTGTAGGACTTGAAATGCATGAATATGAATAATGTGATTCTATATTGAGAGTAAAGTGACATACAATAGGCAATTGTTTCATATGTTGCTGTATACTAGCACCGTAACTACAGATAATAACACAGAGTTGCTGGTACAAGCCATTATCACCATTTTTTCAGGCTTTTTGTTCTCCTGAGTGCTTGACTTTCCAACAACAAAATATGAAAATTCAGATCTCTGATAATTTTTGAATTAAAGTGCCATAATTGCATAGCATGATGTCAGGCACTTTAATCCACCAAGTTACCAACAAAATAGTACTTTTACAAATTGATTTTCATATGCTCAGTATCAACAATTTGCATTACCCACACATTGAGAACTTTGCACATTTTACATAAGGGCTTTTTTTCTTTGTGTTAACATTTTGTCCCTTTTGAAAATTTTAAAATGTGTCGTCATGGCTATTCATTTGTATTTATTCCTGGTATAATACACTGAGAATAAATGCAGATATTAATAAATTAAAAAAAGAAAATTAGTATTAAAGTGTTGAGTCTGGGATATTCACAGAACTGCTAAATTACTTGTTACATTTGTATCTGAATTATATATCGTTACATGAGGGCACAATTTAGATATGCTCATTTAATGAAAGTGTATAGAGCAGAAAAATACAAATACTGTCTAGTCACACTTGTTCAGATTTGGAGCATGAATCAGTGGTTAAAATTTTACGTACGAAGATTTTTAGTTTATATAACTCTCTATAGAATGTTTTAATTATCAAATTAGAAAAAATACTTGTTATGTCTACCTCATGTAAAAACAGTATACTGTCACCTCGTTATAATGAACTTTTGGGGGACATACAATTAAGGTAGAAGCCTACTCATAAATTAAAATACCCAGAATTTATTCATTTTGCAATAAACTGAACTCCAAGGCAATATAAGGATATTGACCAAAAAAAAGTTGGGGGTCACCAGTCTTTTTTTCGAGAAATTGATGGTTGTATTTTAGTGGAAAGTCGCCATTTTGATACTATTATAACACTTTTACCACAGGTTTCTATGGCATAATCTAACCTGGTGACATAGGCTGAAAAAATTATATATTGTTAATGATGGAGTACTTTTTGTTTTTGTGAATTATTTAAAAAATCTGGGTTTTAAAAAGTGTCAAAAAAGCAAACTTTCTTTAACATTGTGTTCTATGGAATTGTTCTAAAAATAGCAATTTTCAAGAAATATTATGACGCGTTTCTCAAAAAGCAAAACTGTAACACACAAAATAATGCTATTTCATTGTACCATGAGACAATAGCTTCATGATTGTACATAATAAACTAATGAACATTGTCATGTGATTTATGACCAATTTTGTCAAAAATCATGACTAGGCTTCTACCTTAATTTGATATTCACCTGTATAATGAAGCACATAATACATAATGAGTGAGAAGCATGCAATGTGGTCATTATATCAGGGAATTCTCAACAAAAATGTTCATTATAACGAGGTTGCAGTGTACTAAAAAACATTATCTCAGCTTAACTTTGTTGATACACTTGTCAGTTACATGGTGCTGAACTTACTGGATGCATTCAATATGGGTTCCTATCCACCCATTGAGTAGCATTTCAGGTGTTGTGGCTTTACTCTCTAGAACCGTTTGGAATGAAGTGTCAAGTCTCCATGCAGTTTTGTGGTGAATATACCTGTAGGTCCCACTCCTGTCTTTTGAGTGGCGTTTCAGGCATTCATAGGGATTTACCGGTAATCTTAAGAACTATTAAAAATGACTGAAGTGTCAGTCCCCACACAGTGTGGTGGATGCGAGTCCCACCTCTGTCTATTGAGTGACTCCCTAGAATGGTTTAGTGACTGATGTGTTGCAAGTCCTCACAAAGTATGACAAGATTTCCACCTCAACACATTCAGTGGCAGTTAAGTATTCATGGGTGCCGCTAATCATTGCTTTACTTCAAATTTTACACAATGCAGCAGCAAGAATGAGACAAGTAAAACCTGTGCTCTCATTCAGTTATCATTAGTTTTGTGCAATAACAGTGTCTATGCATCTGTAAGACTTGCAGAATCTATTGAATATTTTGGTAAACATTGTAACCTGTGACTGGAATCACATAAATAAATGGTTCAAAACAAATTACTTGGATGGAACTTTATTAGGCATCTGATAAATAAAATATCTTATAAATATCTTAATGAATCTTATTTAGCATTGTATTTTTTTTTTTATTCAATGCACTTTTAATATAAATTGATGATGTCAGTACATGGCACACTTACAAGTTAATTAAATGTACATTTTACCAAATATTGAAAAATAAGAAAAATATTGTTTTTATGTTATTTGAATTTACTGATACATGTACATACAGGAATTGCTGCTTTAGACAGAATCCTGTTTTATGTAATTTTATCAAAATAAACTACAGCACAGTAGTTTCTGCATTTAAATTTTAATAGAACATTGAATGCAGTGATATTGAGTTTGTTTTAATATTCATTGGGTAACTAATGCATAATAATTGTAGGTAGGTGCACATTTACTTCTCTAACCTTTTGAGCGCCAGAGCCAACTTTTGACATCTTTCAGCTCTGCTGTTGAATTAGTCAACAGAGTGGATCTTTTTTCATTTTTGAGTTCTTGAAAACAGCAAGTGTGCTTGCTTTGATACTTGTATGTAGCTTGGGTGGACTCTCTCAGATTTGTTCATTTTGTTGGTGATACCTTCAAGTTGAAAATTTTTTTTTTCACTGTAGAAAGACCATATTCATGTATAATTATTGAGTAAAGTTTCATACCATTTCAAGTGTGTGGTTTGTCTTTAAATTTATATACTGATATTACCAGATTATGATTGTATCAGTGTTTAAAATTGTATGCCCTACTTTCCAATCAGGCAGGTAAAAATTTAAACTTACATGCTAGGTAATACAATTTGAACATAGTTAAACTGCACATGGCTTGCGCTGTATATGCAAGTGTGGGGAAGATAGACTTACAAATGGTAGCGAAGATCACATATATGGGGAAGGTCATCTACTTATACCTATATATACAAGTTTGTTAGTAATCACCTAATTAGAATGCAGGAAAAAAAATTACTCTTGACTCTTTGCAGAAACAATTTAAAGGAATTCAAAAGCACGTGTAGTCTTTATTATGTACAGCAACAGGGAAACATAAGCGTTGCAGTTACCGGTATCCTTAAATGATCTGATCCTAATATTCACAAAGTCAACACTATTGCTACATGTAATATGAACTTCAGAATTTCATATTAGATTCATTGAAAATGTTAACAGCATTGAATAGCTGTGATTTTAGACATTTTTGTTTAAAATAACCAAATTTTAGACAAAATTGTATGGGCAAAGTGACCCTACTCGAGGCTGATAACACATAAAATGTGATGTGACAACTCTTTGTTGAAATCTGTCATGTGGTGTGAACCGTAGAAAATTACCTAGGTATTATGGGAAATTACACATAAAATCAACAGTGAGAGGATTGAACTCTCAAGATGGCAAATTATTTGACATTTCTTCCAGGGCACTCACTAAGTTGTCATCTTGTATGGTAACCTTGAAAAAATAGGATTTCCATAAATGGTGCCCTCTGGAAACCAGGGTGCAGCCTTGGGCCATCTTTTTTCACTTGCAACGTTGGTGTAGAACGCATGTTCTATGTATTCAGTGTCCACATTTCAGCAATGGCCGTTTCACACTGATGACACAGGAAATGTTTTGTTAAAAATTGGAAAAACAAGTATTGATAATGCATAGTCCCCGTTAAATATTTTTTTAACACTAACACAGATTGTGTTACTGTCAGTATAGTACCTACGTGGAAACATTGAGCTGAATTGGACTATATCTTACAGAGGAAATAGCATGAAAGAAAAATGCAGCCAGTCAAGTATTGTTGTATCTCCAAAAGAAATATGGCTTGCACCATAACCTAGTATGCAAGGTCATCATACAAAGTTTAATTGAAAATGCCCTATTCAACTTTGAACTGAATCAGGCCATATCGCCCTGTTCTGCTCCAAGAAACTGTTCCGGACATGTTACAGAATGTGATTTTACGTTATTTTTGACAAAATGGCCATCATTTCAACAATTTGATCAAATCTCAAGACAAAATACGTGTTACCTTGCAGTATACTACCTATGTACAAACTTTCAAGTGAATCAGGCCATATCTTTCAGAGGAATCAACACAAAAAAGTAACCCAATGTACATGATCATCATACGAAGTTTTAGTGAAATCAGCCCCGAGAAACAGTTTCGGACTAATTTTAAGATATTAAACAAAATGGCCGCCATTTCGACAAATTTGATCAAATCTCAAAACAAAACAAGGTGTGTTATCAGCATATCAGCACAAAAACAAACATGGCCGCCAGTTGGCCATCTTGGACCGAATCTCGAAAAAAAAGTGACGTGCACCTATAACCCAATATGCATGATCACCATACAAAGTTTGATTGAAATCACCCTGTTCAGCTCCGAGAAACGGTTCCAGACACGTTTTAAATATCAGAATTTAGCAAATTTGAGGGACAAAATGGCTGCCAGTCAGCCATATTTAATCGAATCTCAACAAAAATTGGCGTGCATATGTAGGTCGTCATACATATGCCAAGTATGAACAAGATCGGTCAAAGGGTGTTCGAGCAATGGCTCCGGACAGAACCCAAATTAATAGTCCCCGTTTTCAGACTTCGTCCGAACAGGGACTAAAAAGATAGTTACAGTTTTTGTCACAAACACTTATGAACAAACAGTTAAAGGGTTACAGGAGAAAATCAAATGCAATTTAGGGATGCTAAAAAAAAAAAGAGCAAACGCAGGTTTTTGTAAACATTCCTTTATTATAAACTGTAATAAATGATATACATTTATTGAATGGGATATTTCTCCCAATAAAACAAACAAGATAAAATATATTAAATATAAATCTGATAAAATAAAAGTATTTTTCTTTATAAAAACAAAACTGTCATTTGGCACTGTAAAACAATAAAGCTTAGCCAAAAACCATCAATGTAACTTGGAACACATGGAATCTATTTTCAGTGATTTTTCATACACTCAAACCATTCAAAAAGTGGGAATAACATACTCAACTGTAGATGAGACAACCTGATTTCCCTCTTCTGTGAAAAAAAATTGTATAACATGATCTACAGAATCTACTTATGAACACCAAATGTTTAGCCCAGTGTAACGGGTGTATTATCAGTCAGTCAGAAGGAAAGAGGAATCGAGACTGCGCTCGGTTCAAGGCTCAGAGCAGATCAGAAAATCCTACTTTGATTGAGATCTGAAGGCTTAGAAATAGCCTTAAAAAGAAGATGTCAGGAACAAAAGTGGTTTAACATATTGGAAATTAATGAATGATCGCAATCATGTAAACCTAAGGCTGCCAACATGATGAGTACAAGGTTAAGGTAGTATTATTACTAAAGACGCTAAAGTGCAATGAAGAATAAAAAAAAATTATGGCTGAGATTGGACAGAACCTTCATAAGACTACAGTTGTTTGTACTTAATACCAGCATAATTAATGTTAAAGGAGAATATATGGAGCAAGACCTGATGCAACATGCTTCACTTACTTCTGTGATAAGCAAAACCGTTTAGTAGCTGCATTCCTGAAAGAAGTCGCACCCATTCTTTTTGAACAATTGAGAACTAAAACTAAAAGCCCAAATTTAATAAAAACTATGTAGAATAATAATTCGAATGTATGAAGAATATATATAAATAAAAAGAATTGTTATCAATTGCATATGTGGAGAGTCCCACACGACATAAATGTGTACATAGCAACCGGTTTTGAAGAACAGCTGCAGGTGATTTATATATATCTTAGGGTAGATTGCAGTTGAAAGCTTTGTGTGGTATTATAGGTTGACTGAACATTAGAGT